ACAAAACAAAAAGGAAAAACAAAAAAACCCCCACACAATTATTTTCTTATATATGGCTATAGGCAAATGATTCAAGTTCAGCAGAAGATAAAGGTAGTGGCTTGAGCAATGGATATAACTTAGTAGGTATAATGCTTGTCCGGCGTGGACTAAAACCCCTTGGTTCCACTCCCAGCACTATATAAACTAGACCTAGCTAGTTTATATAGTAGTATATTATAGTAGCCTATAATCTTAGCATTCAGGAGGCGGACACAGGATCAGAAATTCAAGGCCATCCTCACCTACATAGTCAGTTCAAGGCCAGCCTGGGATTGGCAACAGGCTCCCAACAAACAAACAAAAAACACCCCCTAAAGGTTCAAAGGCAGGGCACATCTAAGTTATAGCACTGTACAGAATAGCTTCATGTCTTCTTTGCATAAGAGCACACATGTACTCTGTGAAAGACACAAGTAAAATGCTTAAATACAACTTGCAGATAGAACTATTTGTCTTTCGCAACAAAGCCTGATTCCTTTTCTATGACATGATGTATGGGTAGGGCTTTTATTTTATCATCTCTTTTTTTAAATACTTAAGAAACCCTACAAACAAGGAATCAAGTATGATGGTAATTACAAGTTCTACCTCATAAAATACAATCATATTTGTTTTATGAGAATAGGCCTTCCCTTTGAAATAGCCCTCTCAATTTGTCAAGGCTCAGAGTAAAAAAGGGGAAAGGTTTAAAGTAATTTCACATGTAAGGGTAGTGATATGACCAAATCTCAAAGCTGAATACAAAACCATAGCTGCTTCCATGGTTTGTGTAAGAGGGGGTAAGTCGAAACTGACTGGACCCACATACCTACATGTAAGGAGGGTAAGTTGAAATTGACTGGACCCACACCATCCCTACGTGGAAGAGGGGGTAAGTCGAAACTCATTGGACCTACCTATTGTGGCTACAGTTAACTCTCACTAATGTCCAATCTTCTCAGATCTCCAGCTTTTAGGAGAAACTGACTGGATAGCACAAATTTTCTTTTAAAAATAAATGAATGAGGTGCCAGGCGTAGAATCCAGGACTTCACAAACTCTAAGCAAGAGCTGTCTCACTGATCCCTATCTCTGATTTCAGTATTCTAATTTTCTTTTTTGAGATAGGGTTTCTTTGTGTAACAGCTCTGGCTGTCCTGGAACTCACTCTGCAAAGCAGACTGGCCTCAAACTCAGAGATCTACCTGCCTCTGTCTCCTGAGGTGTGAGCCACCACCGCCCAGCCTAGTATTCCAATTTTTAAATGCTGATAATTTTTCTAAATGTTCAAGAATATAGAGGAGTGGTTTGGCTCTTAGGGTAATGGTTGACAAATCTACACTAACCAATCTTTAGACAGGGTCTCATATAGCCAGGTAGGCTCAAACGCACTACACAGCCAAGAATAGCCTTGAACCTTGATCCTACTGTTTTCACCTCAAGTGCTGGATAAGACATGTGCTACTCCGGACAGAAATCTCAAGGTCCAAATCAGGAGCAGAAGGAGAGAGAGCACGAGCAAGGAACTCAGGACCACGAGGGGTGCACCTACACACTGAGACAATGGGGATGTTCTACTGGGAACTCACCAAGGCCAGCTGGCCTGGGTCTGAAAAAACCTGGGATAAAAATGGACTCGCTGAACATAGCGGACAATGAGGACTGCTGAGAAGTCAAGAACAATGGCACTGGGTTTCTGATCCTACTGCACGTACTGGCTTTGTGGGAGCCTAGGCAGTTTGGATGCTCACCTTACTAGACCTGGATGGAGGTGGGTGGTCCTTGGACTTCCCACTGGGCAGGGAACCCTGAGAGCTCAACGGGCTGACAAGGGAGGGGAACTTGATTGGGGGAGGGGAGGGAAATGGGAGGAGGTGGCGGGGAAGAGACAGAAATCTTTAATAAATAAATAAACGGAAAAAAAAGACATGTGCAACTATGCCTGGTTATGTGATGCCGGGGATTGAACTTCGGGCTTTGTGCATGCAGAGGAAGCGGTTTACTTTTATCTCCAATCTAAACTGTCATTTCTAAAGACTTATTTTCTATTTTTAAAAATGTGTGTGTGCCGGGCAGTGGTGGTGCATGCCTTTAATCCCAGCACTCAGGAGGCAGAGGCAGGCAGATCTCTGTGAGTTCGAGACCAGCCTGGTCTACAAGAGCTAGTTCCAGGACAGGCTCCAAAACCACAGAAAAACTCTGTCTCGAAAAACCAAAAATAAATAAATAAAAATAAAAATGTGTGTGTATGTGTGCCACATTTGTGAGGGTGCCCATGCAGGCCAGAAAAAAGCTTCCCTTGGAGCTGGAATTATAGGTGATTACAAGTCACTTGATGTGGGTCTGAAACTTGAACTTGGATCATCTGGAAGAATAGTAAACTCTTCTAAACTCTGAACCATGTCTTAAGCCCCATAAATTATCATTTTTTAAATTGTAAGATGTGTGTGTGTGTGTGCGCGCGCGCGTGCGTGCGTGTGTGTGTATGTGTGTGAGTATACATATGTGGAGGTCAGAGACAACATGTGGGAGTTGGTTCTCTCGTCTATCATGTGGGTCTAGAGATTAAACTCAGGTTCTCAGGCTTAGCACCAATCACCTTTACTAGCAAAGCCATCCTGCTGGCCGCAGTGTAAATTTAGTTAACCAAAGCAATGGCAGAAAGAAGAATTATCAGGGAATCAGCATCATCTCAGCCTTTATTGAATATTCTACTAGAAATACTCATAGCAGAAACACATGGTTGGAAAAAATGTTTGTTTTAGGCCCTCCAGCACAGGTATTGAGATGGACAAAAGCATAAATAAATCAAGAGGAAAACATTCTTGATAACATTAAAACCAAAAACCTTGTTTCTAGTAATTAAGACTGGCTATAATGCCGGGCGGTGGTGGCGCATGCCTTTAATCCCAGCACTCAGGAGGCAGAGACAGGCGGATCTCTGTGAGTTCTAGGCCAGCCTGGTCTACAGGAGCTAGTGCCAGGACAGGCTCCAAAGCTACAGAGAAACCCTGCCTTGAAAAACAAACAAACAAAAAAGACTGGCTATATTTATGTGATAGGAAATCTTTGGATTAATTCACACTGAGGCTTTAAAACAATGGGGTAGAAGTTAATGATTGTAACTTCTAAAGAATACAATTAAAATTTTTTTGCTCTCAGCTTTTTTAAACTTATAGACAGTCAGTTGAAAATACTATATTTGCTTTGACAAACAAATTAAACTGTATTTATTTAAAGCAAAGCTCTGATCTACTGGTGGCTTTAATAACCACCAGGAAATCAGTAAACTGTTTAACTTTTCCATTCCAAAAGTCATAGGGGAGCTTGATTTGGTGATGCATTCCTATAATGCTAAGGAGGCTGAAGCAGAAAGAGCAGGAGCTCAGGGCTGCCTGGGCTACAGAAGGAGTTTAAGATCAGCCCTGGTCAGGTGTGTGGCAGTGTGAATCATTAATCCCAGCACTCAGGAGGCAAAGGCAGATGAAGACAGATCTCCGTGAATTCAGGATCAGTCTGGACTATACAGTGAGATCCAGGTTAGCCGGGACTACACACTGAGATCCCGTCTCAAAAAAAAATTAGCCTGGGTAACTTAATGGAACCAAGTTTCAAAATAACAACAAGGGTTGGGGCTTTGACTCAGTGGTGGAACACTTACTTACCATGCACAAGATTCTGGGTTAAGGGAAGAAGTCAAAGTTTACAACATTTTATTTATTATTTGTCTTTTTGAAGCAATCATAAAAGAGCTTAAGAGAAAACACAAGATAAAATGAGTATTTCTTGAAATATTTTCAACTTATAATACTATATCTGATTTAGTGGACCAATTGTGATTTACAAGTTTAAACAAACACCAGTAGACACTAGGGAAAGAATTTTAGGTAAAATGGGTGTTTGGATTTAATCATAATTGAATTTGTGTGTGTATGTGTGTACAGGCATATGGTGCATATGTACAGGCATGTGCCTGTGTGATCTTGTGGAGGCCTGCTCTACCTCCTTCCATTTCCTTCAGACAGAGCCTCTTGTTTAACCCAGAGGTATGGCCAGCAAGCCCCAAGGAGCCTTCTGCCTCCACCCACGCCTGGCTTTTGACATGGGTACTGGATTTAAACTCAGGTCCTCATTCTTGCTCTTACCATCTCTCCAGGGCCTGTAACCACATTTTTTCCATGTCTGGGAACTGAACTTAGGGCCTCACATCCGATAGACAAGCACTCTACCATTAAGCTATATTCCCTGCCCATTAATCAGATTTTTCAAAGAGGTCTTCCCACATTCCTGAAATAAAAGTAAATTTAAAAATTATATCTTTAAATAAATAAAAATTTTAAGTTTATTTTTATTTTATGTGCATTGGTGTTTTGCCATGGGTGTTGGGTCCCCTGGAACTGACAGTTGTGAGCTGGGAATTGAACCCTGGTTCTCTGGAAGAACAGTCAGTGCTTTTAACCACTGAGCCATCTCTTCAGCCCCATTAAATATAATTTTAAAGAAGACAAAAGTAAGGCAGTATCCTAAATTCAGGACACAACTAGAAAGGTTATTTTGGAATTTTACTGTGACATGTTCAAAGCTAAGGGCTTTCTCAACCTTTGAGGATTGCTGGTTCTTTTGTTTGGCTTCAAAAAGCCAAAGATGCTCCCCTGGTACCTTAGCTCAGATTATTTAAGTCATTTCTTCAGGTTTTCTTTTTTAAAAAAGTAATTCATACACATTTACTTGAGTACATTTAATTAGACTGCATTTATTTCAAGTAGTGGAAGCTCATACCAAGTGATAAAGTATTGATAAAGGCTGAACAAGTGGCTTCTACTCCCTTCCTGGAATTTCTTGAGCTTTAATATAAGGACAGTATTGTTATGGGAATTTAATAAACCATGTAAAGTAAATTGAAACAGTTCTAACACATAGCAAGTGTCCACTAAACGGCAGCTCTTTTTATTGTTATACAATAGGCTGGTTATACTCACTCTCTTGTTGAGACAAATAACAGGCCACAGGCTGCACCCCAGGGTGCAGCAGCAGCAGAGACATCCACACAGCAGCCATTTCACATTGACTGGGAGAGCCTTTTTCAGACATGAGTTCACACGGCCAATGCTGGTCTTGAATTCTTCTGGAGCCACCTAAAACAGGGGGACTAACTTTATGAGTTTGTGGACAGCTTCCCACTACCCCCAATTCTAAAGAAAATATCTTATCAGAAATACTTTAATGTCTCAATATATTCTTGCCATAAATCTGTATCATATACTCTTGGAAGACATCAGGGAGTGAAGCAATATAATTTCATGCTTGAAGAATTTCATGTAATATCTACAATGCTCTGAAATGGCCATAATCCCCTGAAAGCAACATAACTGATAATATGGGAAACTCATCAAACATTCTTGTTAAGACAATGGTGCTCACAGTCTTCAGGCACCCTGACTGAAAGCTGAGCTATGGTCAGAAGCATAAGGCAAGAACAAAAACCAAACTACTGACCAGAGGAGACAGAATGAACATTAGGCATTCATAATAATCCTGAATTACTTTGATTTTTTTTTTGAGAGAGGGTTTCTTTGTATAGCAGCTCTGGCTGTCCTAGAACTCACTCCGTAGACCCAGGCTGTCCTTAAACTCACAGAGATCCACCTGCCTTTGCCTCCCCCACCTCCAGTGCTGAGATTAAAGGCACACACCTATGTCCAGCCCTGAATTAGTTTGAAATAAATTCTTAACACATTTTCTTTCTGGCAAATCTGCAATTATAATAGTTAAATTTGCTGCTGATTGCAGTGAAATACATTAACAAGAGATAATATCTGGTAATTATGCTTAAAACAGTCTGTCAGTATTCAGCACATATTAGATTCATAACCACTCTGAGTATTGAAGGTTGAAGAGTCTTTCCACAAATTTAGTATTTCTAATTACTCCCTCTGTTCCTGCAAGTAGTTGCTTGTGCTTCTCTGTAAACAATGACAGAGTCAATTCAAAGGCATGAGCATGACCCATGTAGTTAAGATTTACATCAAAATTTCCTCTTGCAAGTTTCATGAGTCAAAGGCACACTAAAAATAGTCTGCTTTCGGTGAAATCATGTTTCTATATCCCCAAGATGCTGCTGCATTACTCAGATTGTCGGCAGACAGTAAATTCAAGGGGAAGAGTTCAGCGTCTTGTTGTGAAAGCAAAACTTATGATGTTGGTAGAAAAATAAATTGTTGCAAAACAAAATGTGTAACACCACAAACCTAAAAGCTTAACTCTTCCACATAAACAGCTGCACTAGACAAGTCGCTTTTTCACATTTTAAACTTTTTTGGCAGGGTTGTCTTAGACTCTACACAAACATACATATTGATAGATGCTATAAAGGTTCAATTCAGCACCATCACAATCAAAACATTGAGTAGCCTTTAATCCCAGCACTCGGGAGGCAGGGGCAGGCGGATCTCTGTGAGTTCGAGGCCAGCCTGGTCTACAAGAGCTAGTTCCAGGAGAGGAACCAAAAACTACGGAGAAACCCTGTCTCGAAAAATCCAAAAAAAAAAAAAAAAAAAAAAGAAAAGAAAAAAAGAAACATTGAGTAGATAAGCTCTATTAGAACTGTTTGTGTCACCCATAAGTCAATTACTCAGTCCATGAAATGGCTGTTTTTGCTAAAAATGGCCAGTTTTGAAACTGTAGGGCTTAAAACTTTGTTTACACGGGAAAAATGGACTTCATTCTCCATCTACACTGTTAAAAACAACACAGTCACAGCTACTGTGCACCAAGAATCCCAATGAACTGATGTTTCTACAGGGCAAATATAGAAATAAATTCACAGGATTACACTTTATAATGGAAATAAAAAACATTAATAAGCCAAATCAGGAGAGTTGGCTTCCAGTTCTTGCTGTGCCTGAGAAAATCATAGACAAAATCATTTAATTTTTCTGAATCCTGGTTCCTCATGTACAAGGTAAAATGATAGTCTTTGCTTTATCTTTTTAATATATTTATTTAAGTATTTTGTGAGTGCTCTGTCTGCATGTATGCTTGAATGCTAGAAGAGGGAAACATCTCATTATGGATGGTTGTGAGCCACCATGTGGATGCTGGAGATTGAATGCTGGAGCTCTGGAACAGCAGCCAGTGCTCTTACCTGCTGAGTCACCGGAAATGCAAGTTTCACCTTACAATTTCTTGGCTGGAGTACTTTGAAAAAGAAAGCCTGTAAATCATGTCTCAGACATAGAGAAAGCAAAGCTGTTGCCTGACTTCTCTGAAGGCAAAGGGACTGGTCAGAAAGCCCACCATTTGTTATACCTTCGATTAGAAATATAAGGATAATCTGCCACGTTTTGAAGGAAACTCCAATGCTCTTCAGCTTTAGAATTTCTTCAGAGCGCTCTTTTCCATCTTCCTCTCGGAGAGGCAGCTTTGCTTCTGCCTCTCTCCCCACTTCTTTCTTCCCCCCCTTCTCTGTCTCTTTCTCCTCTTCTCTCTCTCCCTCTCTCTCTGTCCCCCCCCTTCACCCTTCCTCCTCCATAACCCCCTGAATAAACATTCAAAAAAAAAAAAAGAATTTCTTCAGAGCTATTCCTCCCATCCGCCTCTTTCTTCTCCCTTCTTCTCAGAACCAGGGAGGAAACTGGGGAGTGGGGGGAGGTAGCCCACACTAAGCAGATGCTCTACCACTTGCTCCACCTGTGGTCCTTTGATGTTACTAGTTACTATCTAAACATTTATCTGTCCCAAACAGCAACATCTCACTTCCTTCTCAGCACAGGAAATCACCGAGTAACCCGGTACCAGTTAAAGAAACACAGTTTCCATCTGAAAGGAGTTTTCACCTTCACCTTCTACCTGAGCTAAGGGACACACAGAATCCCACGAGGGGCCAGAGTCCTTCACTCAGCTAGGCATTTATTCTTACTATCTTCTAACTGTGGAACATTGCTTCCTCCTATGCATAGGCTGCAATTATTTTTTCCTTCTGTAAGGAAAACTAAGAATAAATGAGGTAACAGCTATAAAACTAGTTAACACAATATCTAGTGTATATTAGGTACTCAGTAAATGGAGCTATTGTCCATATTGCATGGTGAGATTACAGGCAAAGGAGGAGTCTTAATTTGTGTTCTTTAAGCATTTAAATGCTACTGGTCTGACAACTGTACATCTTCTGAAAAATACAACCCCTTACCTCACTGCCTAGAAGGACTTAGAGAACAGCTTTCTCTCTCTCTCTCTCTCTCTCTCTCTCTCTCTGTCTCTCTCTCTCTCTCTCTCTCTCTCTCTCTCTCTCTCTCAGGGAAGAACAGTGGTAGAAGGCTGAGGGAAGAGAAAGCTGGCTTTCAATTTGAAGCATGGAAATGAAATCAGTTATACGCCACAGTGTGCACAGTTTGTTAGGAAGCTGTCTAGTATTACTTGTTTCTGAAAATGTAAGCAACACTCCTTAAATTAGGCAATTTTCCTTCTCCCAAACCCTCTCCAAAAGGATACTATCTTATTATAGACACATTAAAACTCAAATGTTCAACTTGCTAAAGATGAGAAATCAAATTTTGGGTCATAAAATGAATCTATTGAAAAGAAAAACATGCTAGAATCTCAAACTACAATCTGCATTTTGACTTTAAAAAGATGCCAGGATTGGCTTTGGGGGGTTGAACCCGTTTTGAGTAACAGTACAAATCCTAAAGCAGAGATAGGGAATGAGAATTGACTAACTCTTCGCTTTGAATAAGCAGAGAAATGTTTAGTTAACTGCAGATTCCGAGTTAGGACCATTTGACTCATGTATACAACTATTTCTAGTATTGAATGTCGGCTGGGAGCCTCTGACTTTCTAACTGGACAGTAGGCTATAAAGAAATATGTCATTCCTTTTGACTCTCTTGGAGAGAAAAAAAGAAAACAACAACATGAAGGTGGAGAAAAGGGTCATAATATTTTATAACAGGATGCAGGAGACTCAGAAGCAATCCAAGCAAAGCCCAGCAGGACTGATTCGCCTCCCTCATTGTGAGGCCCACAAGCATAGCAATCGCTTGTCATACAGGACCACAATAGAAAAGGGCAATTTTTATGGCTCACCATTCCCAATACTGCACAGCGTTCTCCCCATAACACCCTTCACTCCTCTCAAGCTGAGAACTGGAGGCTCTCACCAGAATCTGTGTGGATACACATACATACCTACATGATTTGTCCTATCACGACAGGATAACTTACCTTTAGTGAAATGGGAAAAACAATCTTTTCTGCACTTACAAGAATTAACACAAAAGAAGCAAAACGTTAATACTGAGTTGTGGAATTTACAAAATGGCCTTTTAGATTTTCCTAACTCACTGCAATTTTGTTGACCTCAAGCCAGCTACTTGGAATATCTCTCTCATGCCAAAAGCTGATTTTTCTAAAGGGCAACTCTTTTCTGCCAGGTATTACACTTACCCATTTTAAGACAATCTACACAAGGAGTAGTAAGTAGGGAATTAAGACCTTTTAATTTAGTTTTTCATATTTTTATTCGTCCTTCCCCTACTTATTAGAGAAATGGTTTAATAATCCACACTAATCCATACAAGTAAAATAGTTCCTACTGGAGAAAAAAAATCTCATTAAGAAAATAAAACTTGTATTTATGTCATAAACATGTAACCTTAAAAATCAGACCGCCAGGAACTTGAGATGAAGCTCAGTGGTAGGTAGCACGCATGCTTAGTGTGAGCAAGGCCCAGGGCTTGATCCACAGCAAACAAACAAACAAACAAAGAAACTAACATCAGACTTTCAGAATTACTTTTAGTGCTTTTCTCATTGTCAAACACACATTAAGAAAACATTGCACTAACATTTCTGCATTACCCAATGTATAGCCATGTACACATGCAAAAGTGTGAACAATACAAATAACATATAATTGAACATAAAGACACATCAATATGGTGTGTACTATAAAAATAGTCACCTGAAAAGAATAGCTATTTTAGCCAGGCATGGTGACTCATGCTTGTAATCATAACATCAGAGGGCTGAGGCAGGAGGATTGCTACAAGCTTCAGATCAGCTTGGGTTATATAATAAATTCCAGGCAGCTTGAGATACATAACAAAATCCTGTTTCTAAAAGAGAAAAAGACAGATTGGAAAAAAAAAGAATGGATGTTTTCAAGAACAGTTCCCTCCAGATTATCTAGGCTGTATGAATGGATCCCAAAAGCAGCTTACCATTCTTACAACTCCGATTTAAAAAATCTTAGTATCTTATGGGTCAATGGAATTTTTAGTTCCAAAAAGTTTGGAAAGGAATGAAGAGGTGTGAAAAGATATTCTAAAGATTACTTCAGCACATAAAACTGGCTAATTTAAAAAATGGATAATGCTTATGCCTGGGAACTATATTTACTGACAGTTTTCTAGAATTTTCTAGGTCTCTAATTTTAAACATGTAGAAAAAATTTAGCTAGTAATTTTTTTGAGACAGGGTTTTATTATGTATCCCTGGCTGGTTAGGAATTTGTTATGTAGACCAGGCTGGGCTCGAACTCACAGAGGTCTGCCTGTTTCTGCCTCCCGAGTGCTTGAATTACAGGCATGCAACACTATCCAGCATATTAAGCTAGTATTAAAGCTATATGTAATTTCCCAGGCAACACATGCAGTAGCCTTAAGGAAAATGTAAAGATATTTTCTATTGGAGATGTTTTGATTTACATGTTTAATTTTAATATTAAACACATCATGTTTATATCAATGTTATTATTCAGGAGATATTTCCATGTTTAATTATACACATTTGGAGAAAATGTTTCTTACTAGTGTTTATAAAACATACCTAAGTTTAAGCTGCTGCTGCTGCACTTGGTGAAGTATTCTAAATGGTTAGGAGTGGCAGGTAGAACATACTAGAGACCAAAGCCGAACATTTATACCAAAGAGATTTTTCTTCCCCTCCCTGCCCTCTCCCTCTCTCAATCCCTCCATCTCTCTATGCCTTTCTCTCTCTCTCTCTCTCTCTCTCTCTCTTTCTCTCTCTCTCTCTCTGTGTGTGTGTGTGTGTGTGTGTGTGAGCGTGTGTGCATGCACTTGCCTGTGCAAGTGTAGATGCCAGAGATGGACTTGAGTTGTCTCTAAAGCTCTCTCACTCTCCACCTTATTTTGAGACAGGATCTCCCACTGAACCTGGAACTCATCATTTCTTCTAAACTAAATGGCTGGAGAATGTCCCCCATTGTACCTGCTTTTATGTGGGTACTGAGGATCTGAACTCGGGTTCTCATGCTTGCAGAGCAAGGACTTTTTGCCCACTGAGCCATCACCCCAAACTGAAAGTTACCATTCCTGTAAGAGAACTTTCCCAAATACAGTACATTTTTAAAAGGCAATATTTCAGCCAGGCTGTGGTGCATGCACTCAGGAGGCAGAGGCAGAGGTACTTCCTCTGTGAGTTAGAGCCCAGCCTGGTCTCCAGAGCGAGTTCCAGGCCAGTCTCCAAAGATACACAGAGAAACCCTGTCTCGAAAAACCAAGAAAAACAACAACAAAAAAACCAAAAAACCAAAGCAAAACAAAGCAAAAAAGGCAACATTTCAAGTGTACAATATGCTGATGGGTTTGTTGTTGTTGTTGTTAGTGGTGGTAGCTTTTTTGACACAAGCTCTAACTGGCCTGGAATTCATGACCCTCTTGAATGTTAGTGCTGTGTTTACATATCTGTGCTACCAAGCAGCTCAACATGACATTTTAATATACCTATATATAGTGAAATAATTACTACAGTCAAGCAAGTTAATATATCTCCTTACATACTTATTTATCGTTTCTTTTAGAGAACCTGAAATCTGTTCATTTGGCAAACTTTCAGTATATAGTACAATATTATTAATAATCATCATGCTGTACATTAATCCATAATGATAGGTTTCAATCCTGGGAAGTCTGAATTTTGAGCAAGAATGCAACTGAATATAGAGAAACCCGCAAATAGAAAGGTAGTTATTTATTGCTGTGAGTCTAATTTTAGAAACTCAATCTAAAAGGAAAAAAAAAATCTAACCAAAAATGTGATGCTTTTTATTTGTAATAAATGATGCCGTGCCACACAACACTTTAAAAATAATAGTGACTCAGTTACAAAAATAATTTGGTAATGAGACATATTAGAAATTATAGATCTAAATGAAAATAATTACAGCTACCTGTGCTGTGCAAAAAAGGCGACACTGGAAAAGCTGAACAGGTAAATAAACAATGGCTGACATTAAGAAACAACAGACAAAATAGCTGGCCAGAGGCTGGTTGTCATGGTAACACCATTTAGTCACTGCGACCACAGCTTCCAAGTACGGAGGCCTCCTGTTATTTGGCTTCATTACCAGTGAGTCAAAGCATTTGTCATAACACTGAATAAACCATAACACAGTGCATTAAAATCGGAAAATTCAATGCAAACTCACTTACCTTCCCTGTCAGAACTGAGGGAAATTCCGTATCAAATTTGTTGCTTAATCCAAACCTTAAAAACAAAGACAAAACATAATCTATTCTCTTCAGCATATTTAACCCTTTCTCCCAATAGGTTATACACCCATGCAGTTTCCTTTGGTCTTCAGATTTAAAAACATGTCCTGAATATGCACAACTTTATGATGTATATGCTAGTTAAAACTAAGTAATGGATTTAAAAAATTTGTAAGTCCCGAAAACAACATTAAATTAAAAAGTATGTTCCAAATAAAACTTTACATACTTAGAAAAATAATTTTTTGACTATTTGTCCAAATTAGTAGTTAAAGAAATCTCAGGAAAGCAATTAAAAATTGTTGTTTTATTGGGTTCTTGTTTGTTTTTCAGAAAGAACTTGGGTGGGTAGGGAGGCTGAAAAAATCTGGAAATCTCCCCTTGAGTGAGGGGAAGAATATGATCAGAATATATTTAAATTAAGAATCGTTTTAAGTGGGCTGGAGAGATAGCTCAGTGGTTAAAAGCAATAGCTGATCTTCCAGAGGACCCTGGCTCCCAGCACTCACAACAGTCTGTAACTCCAATTTCAGAGGATCTCATCACCTTCATATCAATGCCCATACAATAAATAAGTTTTAACTCAATTAAAAAATGTTTTAAGTAATAAAAAATATAAGTGGAATTCTAACTATACCCATGAGACTAAAAATAGCTAGGAGTCATAATTTTAAATTTTTAATTACATGTGTGGGTTTTTTTTTTTTTATTTCCCAAGACGGTTTCTCTGTGGCTTTGGAGACTGTCCTGGAGCTAGCTCTTGTAGACCAGGCTGGCCTCGAACTCACAGAGATCCGCCTGCCTCTGCCTCCCGAGTGCTAGGATTAAAGGTGTGCGCTACCACTGCCCGGCCTGTATGTGTGGTATTCTTGGAGGCCAGAAAAAGAGTACTGGATCCCCTGGAACTGACTAGAGTTACAGGGGCTTGGAGTTGCCATGTGGGTGCTGGGAATCATACCCAGGTGCTCTGGGAGAGCAGCCAGTGCTCTCAGCTGAGCCACTTCTCCAGCGCCCCCCCCCATGTTATAGCTTTTGACTAAAATGTTTCTCTGTTAAAAATCTACTTTAGTAGATAATTGTTAGAACTGGATGACGACAATATATGAGGATGAATTATGCTATTCTTCCTACTTTTTTGTCCATGTATACAATTTTTTTAAAAAAAGTATTCTTTTCTGCTGGGTGGTGGTAGCACACACCTTTAATCCCAGACCTTGGGAGGCAGAGGCAGGCAGATATCTGTGGGTTCGAGGCCAGCCTGGTCTACAGAGTGAGTTCCAGGACAGCCAGGGATACACACAGAGAAACCCTGTGTCAAAAAAACATATAAAAGTATTCTTTTATCATTAATGTAGACTTTGGAACTATACTTTGATAACTTGCGACCAGTTACTCTTCAGACAATTAAAAGATCTTTTTAAATGCCTTTTATTTGTTCAATCATTTTGAGAAAGAGATGCTCGCCTCTAAAGTTTTCTCTTCCAATATGTTCATTAAAATATGCAATAAAGTCAAAAGGAATTTTACAGGCCTTCATTCATCCATTTGTTGAACTGAGTAGGGATAACTTAGGTTACTTTTTGAATGCCAGACAATCCCGTATTATAATACTAACAATTTTATGGCAGTGGGTGATGGAAAAGCAAAAAGAAAAATAGTGTTGAGAACGCCATGAAAGGAAGCAGTAACAGGCAACACATATTAGTAACTATGTATTTGTCAGGCTAAGTAACTGTGCTAAGTAACTACATTACTTCGAGACAGGGTTCCTCTCTGTAGCCCTGTCTGTTCTGGAACTAGCTCTGTAGACCAGGCTGGCCTCAAACTCACAGAGATCTGCCTGCCTCTGCCTCCCAGGTGCTGCTACTTCCAAGTCTTAAAGGCCTCTAAAAGTATTGTCATTCCCATTTTTCTGGATGGAGAAGCTGATATTCATGATGGCACATGCCTTTAATCCTAGCACTTAAAAACATTTTAAAAAATCAATTAATTAAATGATTTGCCTAAAGTCAAGTTTCTATCTAGTTAAGAAGTAGTGAGAACTAAAAATAATAGTTACTCATTTTCTTTCTTTTTTTTTTTTTCTGTTTTTCAAGACAGGGTTTCTCTGTGGTTTTGGAGCCTGTCCTGGAACTAGCTCTTGTAGACCAGGCTGGTCTCGAACTCACAGAGATCCGCCTGCCTCTGCCTCCCGAGTGCTGGGATTAAAGGCGTGCGCCACCACCGCCCGGCACTCATTTTCTTTTTTAATGAGCAAAAATGAAACTTCTAAAATATAAAAAGTATATTAAAATCGTAAAGGAAATATATTTTTTACTTCTTAAAAATCTCCTTTATGAGCAATATATAGACATCTCTGAGTGTCTTTGGAGATGACCTTGGACATCAAAATAACTATTAACAATTTTTATATTTATTTAATTCTATTATGCATATATTTTGCCTGCATATATGTATGTGTACCATGCGCTTGTCCAGTATCCCTGGAGGTCAGCAAAGGGTGTCAGATCTCCTGACACTGGAGTTACTGATGGTTATGAGTGTTCACATGAGTACTGGGAGCTGAATCTCAGTCCTTTGTAAGAGCAAGTGCTCTAAACTGCAGAGCCATCCATCTCTGCAGCCCCAAGTTCCTTATACTAAAAAGGAATAGTATTTGCACGTAACCCGTGCACATCCTCTTGTAATTTTTTTGGTTTTTTGAGACAGGGTTTCTCTGTAGCTTTGGAGCTTGTCTGCAACTTGCTCTTTAGACCAAGCTGGCCTCGAACTCACAGAGCTCCTCTTGCCTTTGTCTCCTGAGTGCTGGGATTAAAGGTGTGCGCCACTACCGCCTGGCTTTTGTATTCTTTAAATCATCCCAGTAATAGCTAATACAACTGCTATGTGAATGGTTGCTATACTATATTGTTATTCAGAATAACGATAAGGGAATTTCCATACATGTTCAATATAGATGGTATTTTTTTCAGGTATTTTTGAATTGCAAATGGTTGGATTTATGCAAAACCTGTGAGTATTCAGGGTCAACTATTTATCTATACTATAAAATATAAAGAAACTGGCATCATCTGCCTTGCAATCCCAGGATGAGGCAGGAGGATAGTGAGCTCAAGGCCAGTCTTGAACCATATAGTGAGAATCCATCACAAAAAGCAAACCAGACTCACTACTCTCATAGTTTTGGCTAACAAGGAATAGCTATCCTATTCTCACCAACCAGGGATTTCTTTCTTACATATTTTCTTTCTTTAACACTGAGGACATAAAAAGAGTGCTTACTTCAAATAACCTTAATTCTGAGGGTTTAACTTGGTAGCCACAAATATACTGAAATGGCTGCTGTTGTATAAACACCTTACCTCTGTTTCATAAGCAAACTATGAAGTTAAGAACTGTGGCTCAGCCAGGTAGTGGTGATGCACTCCAAGCTTGAAAAACAAACAAAAAACAAAAACCAAACAAACAAAAAGAAGCTATGGTTCTATAGAGGTTACACAAATGCATCTATTCATTAATCATCAGTGATAGGCATTAGCCAAGATGTGGTACTCTTCAGCATTAGACAAAGAGGCACTTGGGAACTACTCAGAAGCCATTTTATTGACTTTATTAAATATAGAGTCTATTATGTGTTCGAAGTTGACCAAGCTGGTGGTTATCAATGATTGAATTTTCTTTAAGTGTTTCAATGCCCCTACATTTTAATTTCTTGGAACAATTCTTTGGACTATAGGAAATGGAGACAAAGAAGGATGGATCATTTTCCTTGTTTCTTCCTGCCTCCCTACATCCCTCGCTTTCCATGCTTGTAAAAATTACTATTTTCAATCATTTAAAAGCCTTGCCAAAATGAAAGCTCATGTGCTCAGGTAAAATAATCAGTGCAGTCAAATTCTGCTAACAAGAACTACTATTTTGCTAGAAAAGTATGTACTTAATAATAGTGTACTGATTCTGAAGCACGTGTAGTGAATTCTACTGCACTAAGAAAAAGAAAAACCATGCCATATAATACAAACAGAAGTTTTGTTTGTTTGTTTGTTTTCAATTCTACTTAGATCTTTCTTCTGGAAATAAACCAAACTACGTGATGGCTTAAAGCTTTGTAAAATAGTCATCTGATTGTTTTCAATGCTGGGGATTGAACCCAGGGCCTTGCTCATACCAGTTAGTTTTGATTTTCTATATAATAATTTTAGTGAGATTCCTTGAAAACTGGTAATTCAGAAGTCATCTCAACTACCTTCTATACAGGTACTCTTGCAAGTACAAACACCCATACATTTTAAGAAATAGAAGTGTGCTTGTGTTTATAGACATGGGGGGGGGAGTCTCATCGGATGTATTTGTTTTCTATACTTCAATACACTGTGGCCCAATATTTATCCTAAAAAAGAAGAAAAAATATAACTCAAATTTACAGCATTTTTGAAATAGTTCACATTTGCAAGTGACATCCATCATTTTGTTTCTAAAGTCTTAAACCTGTGGGAGTTAATTTAGTAATACTTTTTGTTTTTTGAGACAGGGTCTCATTACCAGGCTGGACTCTAACTCATACTCAAACTTGTCTTTGCCTCTCAGTGTTAGGATTAAAGGTGTGCACCATCACAACTGGCTCACTCTGTTTCTTATGATATTATAATTAATTTAATATTAAAATTCATATTTTGTTAAAATAACTAAAAGGTCAAAAATATTAAGATGATACAAGTAAATTGGAGTACTTTTACACACATGAGCTAGCTTAAGAAAGCTTTATAGAGGAACAGTGATACTGTCAGTTGGAGAGTGATGGTACCTCATCACTAGGATTATTATATTATTACAGCTATATATACAGCTCAGAATAGTCTCCTTTATAGCATGATTGAACAAACTCACATTGAAGGCCTATAATATAGTTTGCACAACAAGGGGCATAAACTATCACTAAAGCAAGCCAATATTCATTGAACTTTCTTAAACAAGTATTATGGTAGGCACTGAAGATTCATAGGGAAAGAGAGATTGTTCTTGCTGGTGTGCTTCCAATTTAGCAAGAGCGAAAAAAACATAGGAAATGGTGACATTTGGAAAGCTAGGGTAAAGGGAGGTATATGCTGGCATTTAAGATGGAAGCACTAGGTGGAACAGACATTGACGATATGAAATAGCATGCTGTGATGAGTAAAAGGAGGTACACTCAACTGAGATGGAAAATAGAGAGCAATAAGAGGCATGTTTGAGGGTTAAGTAGCCCAGGGAAGTGTCCAAGCAGAGTCTGGTACAGAAACACTGGATAACTGAGACCACAAGAAGCAAGAAGAGACCATTTAAGATATGTAGACAGTAAGAGTAGAGGGCTAAGCATAAAATCACAGGTATTTAAGAAACAAGACAGGAAGAAGACTGTTAAAAAAAAATACATGCCAGGCAAGCACTCTATTGCAAAACTATACTCCCAGTCTCTGATCATGGTGATCTCAACTAAGGTCAGAATCTTCACAGTTAAGGTGGCAGAATCCAGATAAGAGGAAGTAAATATAGTGCACGTATGTACTCTTAAGGAATGTGGAGAAGGAAGAGAGATTAGATAGCAGCTGAAGAGGATGTGAATATCAGAAGGTTTGGGGTTTGAATATATTACAGGGCAATCTGGACTCTAGATTCTAGAGGGGTCAAAGTGAGGCACTACTGGAGCCAGGAGCTGCCTTATGGTACAAGACTTTGCTTGGGTGGAGATTAGAAGAAAAGGGTATGGATGGCAGAAAAGAAGACATGAGAGGGACTCCTTGAATTCTAATGTTGAGAACACTAAGGTCTAATAAAGATCCAATGCAGGTTTACAACAGGACAGTGGCACAATTGAATGGAATTTTAAGAAAATTAGTTTGGCATGGGCATGCACAATGAAATGAGGAGAGGCAGCAGATTATGGCTATAACTCAAGAAGGAGATGATGGCCACTCAAACAAGAGTGCTGCCAAAGAAGAATAGAGAAAATGAAAAATCTAAGCGAATTTCCAAATGTATGATGACAATTCTGGGAAAATCAGACATAGGGCAATTCAAGGAGAAGAGTCAAAATGGCTCAAAGATTTAAAATATTACCCTGGAAAAGTAGAATGTTGGGGTCACTGCCAGAAATGTGGCAAATAGAAATATAAGCCATTTGGGGAGGGAAAATGTTGAGTTTAAGATATACTGAGTTAGAATCAGGTTAAATATAACTATCGTCTTAAATATGTATCTCTTACTCATGGTGAAAAGCTACAAAACACTCCCCCTTTTTAAAAAAGTCCAGTTGATAGTGACAACTCCCACGTTTTCAACTTTCAATAGAAACAAAATCTTCCACAGATGAAGATCGAATAAAGCACAAAGTCAGGGTACAAAAGAATAAGAAATAGTTCATTCAACTGGGTGGTGGCGGCACATGCCTTTCATCTCAGTACTCTCAGAAGGCAAAGGCAGAGGGATCTCTGAGTTCAAGGCCAGTTTTGTCAACAAAACAAGTTCCAGGACAGTCAGAGCTGTTACACAGAGAAACACTGTTTCAAAAAAAAAACAGCAAAAAAAAAGGAATAAAAAAAGAAAGAACAAAGGAAAGAAAGAGTTCACTCACATAGATATAGGGCCAAGAGTGTAGCTCAGTGACACAGCACTTGCCTCGATGCACAGTGCCCTAGTTTGAGTTCATCACACCCTCACCCCCAATAAAACATAGTTTAGCACAATCGACACATGCCTACATCAGAAAAATGGAAACAAAATTCGACATTTTAGATGTATTAGATTAAAATTATTCTTACAGACTTACTCAACCTATGGAAGGTTTTGCTATTATAGTTCATGTCTCAGATCCCAACCAAAAATTTTTATTAAAGACAGGGTCTCACTCTGTAGCCCAGGTTGGTCTGGAGTTCATTATATGACCCCAGATTGGCCTTGATCTCATGGCACTCTTCTTGTCTTAGTCTCCCAAGTGATGGAATCACAGGCATAAAGCACCATGTCTGGCTTCTAGCAGACCTTCTAAACAGTCTTTTTTTTTTTTTTTGGTTTTTTTTCGAGACAGGGTTTCTCTGTGGTTTTGGAGCCTGTCCTGGAACTACTAGCTCTGTAGACCAGGCTGGTCTCAAACTCACAGAGATCCGCCTGCCTCTGCCTCCCAAGTGCTGGGATTAAAGGCGTGCGCCACCACCGCCCAGCAACAGTCCTTTTCTTCAATGTTAGATATTTAGCATCAAATGTTCTTCCTAAATAAGAAAATGTATACAACAAAGCCAAACAATTTTCCAAACTATATTCATCTCTAGGATTTAAGTACTGGCTTATGCTTTTCAGACTTTTTTCCAATTAATACCAAGATACTACTGGCATTATCTCTTTACATGTGATTCCAGAATTTTTAAACTGTGTGTGTGTGTGTGTGTGTGTGTGTGTGTGTGTGTGTGGTGTCGGCAGGGAATTACATGTACAAGAGGCTAGACACAGCAAATCTCAGTGCTCTGTTTTAAATGAAGAAAGGAAATTGGTTGTGTGGCGCGTAGAATGGAGCCACGAGGAAGTTTTAGAGAACTTAAATTATGCTTCCTTGCTATGCATGCACTGTTTGAATTTTAGAAAATAATGGGGGAAAGTGGAACATAAAATTATGGATCGCAGTATAAAAACCATTGCTCTGCTTGGTCATGTAAAAGAATCTGCATAAAAAGAACCCTGGGTGCCAGCATCATAATTAGCTGGGATAATGGTCACCCTAGTGACAAAAGGAATGGAAGTAAAACTGCAGTAAGTTGGCACCTGAGCATTGCAGGCTTTCTGCAAAAACCCTGGACTGAGAAAAACTGTCTGAAAATTACCTAATCAAAAATAAGGCCTAAAGTCTCCCCAAAGCCTTCCACCACAACTGAAAAAATATTTGGTAATACATCATTCAGTAATTTAAAAGTGTATTATAGTCAAAAGAGTTAACATGCTAAAAATTAAAAGCTAACACGATTGAGGAATTGATACATACTGAATGATTTCATGCAAGCACTCAGTTGAGTCAAAGGGACTAGGTGAGCCATGATCAAAATGAAAGATAGGGAGACGTGATGAAAAGGGGCAAATCTATTTTGAAAATGCAGTAAATGACACCACAGTTAAGAGCATGAACACAACACCATACTCAAAATTCTAAGTATTTACAATCCAAGCTAATAAAAACTGGGACCCACTCTTCAAAGCCCAGAGGTCAGTTTTTCTTCTTTTACTGTGTAACCAAGATGATATGAAGTCCTTGCACACTTTATTTTCCCAAATACGATACAGAATTTCAATGTAAAAGAAGCCACCTTGGATGAGTTTTAGAGAAATCATCCTCAATTCATCAAAGGCCAATTTCCCTATATAGTTAATGTTTGGGCGAACAAAATCCCCTGTAGGCATCTTAATTTATTTCAGAACCAAAGGGCTTAGAAACCATGTACTTCAAACCCTTCATTTGGAGAACCCAAAGTCCGGAAGTAAGAATCAACTGACCAAGGTCATAGGGCTAGTAAGAAGGGAAACTGAGATTAGCAACCAAGATCTCTCACCCTCTGTCCATTGCTCGTTCTACTTTGCATAGATTCTTATCAACCTGAACCTCTAATGATGTGATATTACAGGAACGTCAGAGTAGTGCGTTCAACAGAGAAAGGATGACGATATTCATTCATATAAGCATTGGATAGGAAGAATGGATGGATAAATATGTGGGTGGATGAATATTTATATTATTCACAAAATGCATCACAGTTTTGTTTTGAAGAATCTAAGCCCAGATCTTGTCACATGTCACAGCAGTCGCCGTTTTCCACTAGCCATCAATCTTGCCAGCAGAGAAGCCTAGTACATCCTGCAGTTCAGAGGCTATTCACTTGCCAGCAGAGAAGCCTAGTACATCCTGCAGCTTAGAGACTATTGACTTGCCAGAACACGTACAAGCGGATCACCCCTACTCCAGTGCCTCTAGCTTTCCACCCCGTAACTCCATGTCCTACACTCACTCTTTTCTCAGGGTCGATGTCACTCTCCCCATTTCTTTTGCACTACACCTATTCAATCTGCGGTTTCTCTATTTAAACCAGGTGTCCTTTGCTAACAGTATGTCTTAGTCAGCCCTTCCCACTCTGCAGGCCCTTCGATGCCCTTCTCATTGTCTGCCGCCAATTCTCAGCCTCCGCAGGACCCCGGCCCCAATAGCTTACACAGTGATGTGGCCGGCGCCGCGCACCAACACAGGGTCTGGGGCATATCTCCGCAGATGCTCCTCGCTCACTACCCGAGGCGGGGGTTGCACCTCCTCCTCCTCCTCTTCTTCCTCCTCTTCTTCCTCCTCCTCATCTTCCTCATCCTCATCGGGCCCAGATACCGACGACGACGACAACGACGACGACGGCGACGACGACGTCGTTGCTGCTTCTTCTTCTTCCTCCTCCAGTTCTGAGATGGTGTCGAACTCCGCCATGTTGGGCAGCAGGATGCTCATCACGTGACCTCACAACTGCCGCCACTCGCTGGGAGAAGAGTTTGAACCTGCGGAGCGGCTGGGAGAGGAGGGGGAACTGACTGAAGAGAAAGAGGAGGGGGTAGGGAAAGCACTTGAGGAGACGCGCCTGCATATTGGGCAGACAGAGCGGGGGTTGGAGGCGGGGGCATGAGGGACCAAGGAGTAAATTCGGTGTACGCTTGCGCGGCTCCAAGGGGAGGGGGCCGGTAGAGGTGAACTCCAGGGAATTCTCGAGGTCCGGTCTGCGGGTGCTGATCTTCGTACTGCGCTTCGGACGTCAGTCTCTCGTACGCAGGGGACGTACGTTCTCGTTTTAGTGCCTGTTAATTAATGCGGGATATATTTACCTCTATGCAGGCAGTCGAGGGAAAGCAAATTCTATAAAAGCGAGTTTAGGACTTTGCCCAAAATATCTAAAGGTACACATATGTCACTCCCTTACGAAGAGACTGTTCAATCCTAAGGGCAAACATTTTTATTAACGTTTTACAAAAGAGGAAACTTTCTATTAATTTCTCCTGCTGAATGGTACTTTGGGGACTTGCTAAGTGTCACAGACTGTGCTAAGTGCTCTGTGTGCGTATCTCATTTACTCTTCCCTACAACTCTTTGATGGGTGTACCATGTTGATTCAAATATCACACAAGGGAAATCTAGATACATAGAGAGCAAGTAATTTGTTCAAGGTCATGGAGCTAGTAAGTGACAGAGGAGCTTTTAAATCTGGAGTCTCTTCCTACTCCCAAAGCCCTGTACTCTTAGTCAAACAGCTACAGTGCCTAAAGTTGCTTGGAAAGGCTTGGGGGCAGTGGTGCATTTTGGTTGGTTCTTATTAATAAGAATAAACATGTTTGAAGCCAGGTGTAGTGGCACATGCCTTCAAACCCAGCACTTGGAAGGCAGAGGCAGGAGAATCTTTGAGTAAGGCTAGCTTGGTCTATAGACCTAGTTCCAGGACAGCTAGAGTTACACAGAGAAACCCTGTCTTATGAAAAAGAAAGAAAGGAAGAAAGAAGGAAGGAGGGAAGAAGGAGGAAAAGGGGAAAGAAAAAAGGAAGGAAGGAAGGAAGGAAGGAAGGAAAAGAAATTGGGGTTTTGAGGAGTGGAGCTGGAGAGTGTGTAGAAGGCATGCCAGTTTAGAGACATATTAATTAACATAGCCTATTCTATAGACTCTAAGCTATATTCTTCCCAATACCATAGGTCAGTTAATTCAAACAATCTGGTGAGGTAGGTACCTTTATATGTCTTTTATAGATGAAGAATTGATGGACTGGAGAGATGGCTCAGCAGTTAAGAGCAGTGGTTGCTCTTCCAGTAGGACCCGGGTTCAATTTCCAGCACCCACATGGTAGCTCACACCTGCCTGTGACTCCAGTTCTGGGGATTTGATACCTTCACACAGATATACATCAATGCACATAAAATAAAAATAAATAATTTAAAAAGATGACATATTAAATATCAGAAAATTTAAATAATTCATTCAGGTCTGTAGTGACCTTTTTTCCCCCACCCTACCCTGTCCCCGTTTCAAACGTTCTACCTCATCTTCACTCCATCACTAAAATACAGAGGCCACATATTTCAAGTATTTAGGTAATGTTCCAAACTGGTTCATACCTGGTAGCAGCACAGACTTTGTGCCGTTAAGACTATATAGTGCAGCTGCTCCTAATAGAATGAATATCGCGGTGCAGGTACGCTCCATTAATACCAGCTTTCCTATGCCTTCCGCTGCGCTAGAGCTTTCATTCTGATTAGGTGATGTGACTGGGGAAACAGACAGAGCCTGGAATTTAGAATAAGCCTAGCATCAGCACCATATTGGCAGTAATCAAATATACTTAGGCATGTGTGGAAGAAAGAAATCTTTTTTGTAAGAGATATTGTTCAGATATCAAGGAATTGGTGTTATTAATATTGCATTTTTCATTATATTCAATAGCTTGTTTGTTTTGGAATTGAGAAGTAAGATGTAACATTATCTATAAAAAAACAAATGGAGCCTTTTGTTGTATAAAGAACTTTACTTTAGCCAGAGATTAGGATAAAAGAATCTTAAAGTATTTCATAACAATAATTGGTTTTTCCCAGTACTATTAAACATATATCAACAATGAGAGTGGATGACCCCAGACTGAGATCAACTTCAATATTCTGTACCTGTTCTTTTTAAGAAGCAAGACAAAATCACAGAGGAGATTAAATATTTCCCAAACATCTTCTCTATAAAGAGTCCAGTAAATCAGTATCTAGAGGGAATAATACTATTTTGCTGATTACTGCTCCAGTGGTAGCTTCTCATTTCCATCACTAAAGATTAGTCTAGGAAGGAATAGCTGACAGAAAGGAAAAGACTTGGATTTTGTGATAAATGCAATAAGACATTAGAACTGTTGTCAAGCTAGGATATAATGACTGGGGGAGATGGAAAGATGAAGGGAGAGAGGGCTGAGGAAATTCTACTGTAAGTTTCAAAGCGGAGAGTCCAGAGACGTAGTTTAGTTGGTAGAGAGCTTGCCTATCATGCAGGAAAACCCTACTTGTAATCTCCTGCACAGCATAAACTGGAGATGGAGGTGCATATTTGTAATCCCAAAAGTTGGGAGGTGGAGGCAGGAGGATCAGAAGTTCAAGTTCATCCTTGGCACCTCAGTAAGTATGAATGAAGTGAGCCTTGGACACTATCTCAAGCAAAATAAAAAACAAACTAAATAAATTGGAAAGAGGCCACTGACGTTTAGTTAGAAGTCAAAAGGACAAAGCAGTGTAGAGAAGTGCTGCGCTTGGCCAAGTGTGCAAGCACAGTCTGATCAGCTCATCTGTTTGCCTGCACATACACGGTGCTGAAAAAGCATGTGTGATTGCAAAGGTAATCAGTTCTGCCAGGAGGACTGAGATTGGGAAAGCCGAGAAAAACATGTTTTGTCTGTCCACTGCCAGTGAACACATGAAGCGTGATGGCTTTTAAATGATAAGCTGGCTTTCAGGCTAGTAAATTGGTGAGTGGATGCAGAGGAAAGCAGGTGGTATAAGGCTTTGCTTACCTAATGTGCTGAGGAGGTCATGAGGGCAATTTTCTCATCTAATAGGTGGGGGCCTGAGGCACAAAGTCTCAGGTTTAATGGACTGAGAAGGTTTCACAGTTTTAAAAGATAGCTTTGTTTATTTGTTAAAGTACACAATTCAGTGACGTTAGTCGATTTACAGATTTATGCAGTCATTACCACAAACTAATTTTAGAATGTATCCACTGCCTCAATTCAATACCCCCATTCTCATTCCCATTCCTATGTATTCTCAGTCTGTGTTGTGGGCTTTTCAAATAAATTGTGTTATAAAATATGCTGTCTCTGACACCTTCTTTTGCTTAGTGTGCCATTGAGGTTCATCATATTGTGTCATTTATTAGGACTTTGTTCCTTATAATGGATAAATACTATTTCATTTTTGCAATATATTACATTTTGCTTCTTTATTCACTTGGTGATGACATTTGGACCCCTTTCACCTTTTGTATATTGTGAAAATGCTATGTTATAGACATTCATATGTCTCTGTGAAACATGCTTTAATTTTTCACTTTCTTTTCTTTTTCTTTTTGTTTCTTTCTTTCTTTTTCTTTTTTCCCTTTTTTTTTGAGACAGGATTTCTCTGTGTAACAGCCCTGGCTGTCCTGGAACTCAGTTTATAGACCAGGCTGGCCTCGAACTCACAGAGATCCACCTGCCTCTGTCCCTCAAGTACTGGGATTACAGCCGTATACCACCACCACCCGGTTTAATTTTTTCTTGAATAGATATATTTAAGTAGAATACTGGGCCACATACTTAAGACCATGTTGAACTTTGGGACTGGAGAGATGGCTCAGAGGTTAAGAGCACATAAGATCTAAATTTGTTTCTCAACACCCATTATTTGGGCAGTGTACAACAGGTGACTCCAACTTCCACAGATTAGATGCTTTTAACCTCTATGGGCACCTGCACACATGTTCACACACAGAGTTGATGATAATTTTTTTAAACAAAGATTATATTGAACTTAATAAAATTGTTGAAATATTTTTCCAGAGTGGCTCTATCAGCTGCCATTCTCGTGAGTTATTTTCCGTCTTCTGAATGATTTATTTACAACTCAACTGCCATCACCATTTATAAACATAAAAGGTGTTTATTAAAATTTAGCATACTGTTCCTTCTTTGTTCCTGATATTTCAAGACATTTGACATTTTTGTTGTCTTTCCTATTTTGTCTTGTCTTTGTTCCATGTTCTCTTTTCTGGTCTTTTTTTTTTCCTTTTACCTTGCTGGGGATGGAACCCAGGACCTCACACACACACTGGGAGAAGAGCTCCAGCCCTGCATCACTCCTTCCTCAGCTCCTGTATGTGTTCTTCACGGCCATTGGCAGTAACTCATCTTACTTTTCTGCACCTGTGTCTTTTTGCTGGGTGTGTAAATTTGGACTGACGATGGTTTCAGCATTTGAAAAAGGTTATGTCACTTGTTTCGTGAACCCATATGTTTTAGAGAAAGAACAATCTCTTGGTTTTGAGTTGTCAATGATATTTTGTTTATTTGCTGGATGCTTTAAATATTTTTCTTTGTTGTTAATATTTGAAAATTGCATTACTATGTAGTTTGGTATGGATTTATTTGTCCGTCTATTTTGAGTCTCCTCCTCCCCCTCTTCCTCTTCTTTTTTTGAGACAAGGTCTCACTATGTAGTCTTGGCTTGCTTGGAACATGTTATGTAGACTAGGCTGACCTGAGACCCAGAGATCTACCTGCCCCTGGGTCCCAAGTGCTGGGATTCAAGTCGTGTAGTTTAATGAGTTGTTTTCAAGTCTAATTTGAGCATCCTCACATTAGCTCATGAGAGGCTGGATACTCTCCACTTTCTCTTTTGACTGCTATCTGCTTGGCTCTGCATCCTTAGGGAGAGCTGAGTTGCAGTATCTATCGTTCTGTGAC